TAAGTATATCTCACTCATCTGGACTCCGTTTTAAGTGGTTCTTAAGCCTAAATTCAAGCCCTAGAAGTCTAGTTTCTAATGGTGGTGGCCTCGCATCCAAATTCTACATACACAAATAGATATGCTCAAATTAGTGTAGGCTGCTTATTTTTTTTTAATCATTTCATGCCATTCCCTACCCTAACTTAGTTTCCTTTCACTTGTTGCTTTTTTCCTTAAACCCTAAATATGTAAACTTGATATTTTCAATGAAAAACATATGGAATTGTTGTAGGAATTATGTAAACACTTTAGAGAAATAAAGAATAGAGAACGATTGAATACATATGTAACGAATAAATCGATTGAGTGAATTGAAGGCAATGTGTCTTGAAATGTTATGCTTGGTTATGTTTTTGCAGGCTGAGTCGTTAAGAAGTATCATCCAACCAAGCACTATGAGTAATAATATCATACATATATATTCTTTATTGTGTATCTCGAACCATGAATGGTAATTGGTGCTGACATTGCGGTTTGATTGACATGAGAAACTTCATTAATATTATATGACATGTGTTATATGATTGGGCCTAAGGCCCCTTGCTATATGATTGGGCCCGAGGCTACTTGTTATATGATTGGGCCCGAGGCCGCTCGTTATATGATTGGGCCTGAGGTTGCTGGTTATATGATTGGGCTCGAGGCCGCTTGCTATATGATTGAGCCTGAGGCCGCTGGTTACATGATTGGGTCCGAGGCCGCTTGATATATGATTGGGTTCGAGGCCTCTTGTTATATGCTTGGGCCTAAAGCCGCTTGGTTTATATGATTATGGATATTGTGAGAACCTTATGATCATTTACTTATACTGCTTTATTGTATTATTACTCATTGAGCTTCGCTCACCCAATTTTATGTATGTACATGTAGGTGATCAGCAGCATGGAGCACACCTCTAGAGTCAGCTTCAGGAGCCTTTTTGTGACCCAATCGAGTCATGCCTCCGAGAAGGAGTTTTGTCTTGACTCAGACCACACTTTGACCTTATTATGTTTTTGCTTTCATGGTCTTGGGTTATAAATACTATGTACAATTTTCCTATGGCTCTTATATTTTTGATGGGCATGTATATGTATTATTGTGTTACGTGGTTAACTCTATTATTTTGCTCATGGTTGGCACAACTCAATGGACTTCTCATTATTATATGCTTTTGTTTATGGCCCTATTGGCATAAATATTCTATATGATCATTTGAGGCTTTCGGTAATCTACGGATTACTGGCTGGTTATGACCCAAACTTTTAGGGGCGGGGTCAGGTCATGACAAATGATTCAGTAACCAAAAACAAAAACAAAAACAAAAACAAAAAAAGGGAAAGAAAGAAAGAAAGACACTTTTGGCGACTAAACTATTAGTAGCCAAAGCAGAAAATATTATAACTTGGGCGACTAAAATTTTAGGAGCTGAATAATTTAAGTTTTGGCGATACAAAATATTAGTCACTGAAAAAAGCTTTTGGTGACTAAATTATAAGTAGCCAAAAGAGCAAATATTATACTTTAGGTGACTAAACTATTAGTAGCTAAACAATTTAAGTTTTGGCGACAAAATATATTAGTCGCTGAAAATGTCATGTTAAATTTAATTGAAATCTTTTGGCAACTAAACTATTAGTCGCCAATTGTGTGCTTTTAGAAACTAAATCTTTTTTAGTCACCAATTACTTTCCCTGACAATCTTTCAACGACAAAGCTGGCGATCAAAAAAATTAGTCGGTAAAAGGTTTTGGCAATAAAAATTTGACTTTTGGCGACTAAAAATTTAATCGCCAAAAGTGTCTTTTATTGTAGTGTAAGTAAGGATAAATGAATACTCATGTCATGTAAGAATGCCTTGAGTATTACACCGACGATGACCTGGTGGTTGGCCGACAACAGTTTGACGGTGATTTAGTGATAGTAGAATAACAATTTTCAAAAAAAATTCTTTCAAAATAATATTTTATTTTTTTCACTAAACAATTTTATTAATTACGTTGTTAGCTTCATAGAAACTTTAATTTAAAATCAAATATCATATCTTTATAGAAATAGACTCATCATCAATTATTATTTTTTATTTAATTATTATCATTTATGATTCTTCCAAAATTCGTAGCCAAACTTTAGCATCTTTTTTCGAGTTCAAAGTAAATAAATAAATATATATATATAAATAAAAAAAAAACACTCTAGTTTGACAATTATTGCTGTCACCCCAAGCCAGGACTCAAAGACAAGACCACACTTATCACGTGGCCATATTTTTCTAAAACGAAGACGTTTGGTAATTTTGAATTTTAGTTAAAATGTTCAAAAATTATTATAAATTGTTATATTATTTTTGTATTTTAAAAAAATCAAAAACGTTTTACAATTATTATTATTTTTGAGGGAAATTCTACTATTCGCATCCCTTACTATATGCACTCTTAAATTATATAATTTTTTTTTTTAGTTATGACTAATTTTTTTCTTTAGTTATAATTTGATTTTAGTTATGACTCATGAGGTTTTTTTGTTATGTCTCATGTTTTGTTTGGTTATGACTTTTTTTTTTTTTTGGTTTTTATTCAAAAAATATAAATTATGTCATTTTTTTTTAGCTAATATTTGTCATCCATTATTTTGAAAATAAAAGTGATAAAATTATTAGATTAATCTAAGTCTTTGCATGAATTATCTACACAAAGGAACCAAAAAACTAAATAGAATAAATCGTTGACGGTGGACTTGTGGCAGGCCAAATGGATTGAACTCGACTATCTAGTTAACTAATGCGAACTAGAAAGTAACCAAACCCTTTACCCAAAAATATAACTATTTTATATTTTTGACATAATTACATTGATCACTCATTTAGTAAATTTAAAATAATCAAAACTAACGTAAATAGTACGTAGACGCTGAAATAAAGATAAATATATATTTTAATAGAAAATTGATGATAACATTTTTTTATGGGACATTTACACACAAGTCCTAATTTATGGACTTATACACCATTAAGTTCTAACTAAGATTTTTTGAACCTTCAAGTCCTATTAAATTTTAAATAGTTTAAATTACCCTTCAAATAATGATTGTTCATCATTTATGATTATCTATAAAGGAACAAAATGATTTGACATTTATTTTGATTTTCAAAACTTTAAAACATCAACTTTCAAATTGACAAAAACTTTAAAAATAAATATATAAAACAAAGAAACAAAAAATCAAAGCAAACAGAAAATGGATATACCTTTCTATCTTATATTTGTATTTTCCGTTGACACAGGCAAAACATTTTAGACTTTTAATTATTTCCGTATGCTTTGACTATAACAATTTTTGTTTGCTGAGAATTTCAACTCATGGTTAATGCAATTCACTTGAAAGCAAGAATATTTCAATCAAATTAACAGAAATGACAAGGGGTTGCATCTTATGTTAAAGCCAGCTGGGTAGACAGCTTGGTCACTGATTCACTGTTCGCCCAGGAGATAAAAGATCTCATATTTCACTTTTCATATATGTTACTTTTATGCAATCAATAATTTGTAAATGCTGGAAGAACAAACTTACAAAATATATTAGAAAAAGATTTTGTAGATCAATCTTTACAAGTAGTACATAGTTATGTTTCTTTGTAAAAACTATTCCGACAAGTAAAAAATTAAAAATGTCAATAGTCTTTGAGCATTAGATAAATGATATTATGAAAAAAAATTCTTACTAAATGCAATGAATCTTTTTTGTTTGTCTAATGCTGCTTTACCACCATTAGAATATCAATTACAATCATATTTTTTATTTGACACCAACAATGAAATCAATGGATTCATCGCTACATTAAATTAGGGACGTAACGCATACCGGTAGCCCAGCTGTGAAGAGAGTATATCCTAGGCCGAGTTGTAAACTTTAATCATCTCAAGCTCAACACCGGTGTCTCCCATGCAAAATCGAAACTTGTGGTTTGCCGTTTGCAAATGATTGCAAGTATCCGGGTTTACACTGTAGGGGTGGGTTCAAAGAGACTGCCTTGGAAGGCTCCTACTCGGTGGTTCTCCATCATCAGTTTGAAAAGAAAAAAAATTAAGGATTTGGACACAACTAACAAAACTAATGTTTAAGAATTAAAACCTTTTTCTGATTGTCAATTACAATATGAAGTAATAATGTGGGACAAAGGGAGCTCCTTGCAGAGTTTAAATATCTTCCGTTACATATCATATCAGCAGTTACATAACGGGATTTTGGCCTTCAAGTACCTTTATTCATTGACATAGTGGTCGACATTGTCCTATACTATTCGATATTGGCCAATATATGGCTGCATCACTGATACATATCCCAATACCATTATCTAAATCCATGTCCTCATCTTATAATTGGGTAACTAGGAACAAACCAATACTGGTACTTGCATTTAAAAAAGAAAAACTAAATACTAGATAATTGTTGGGCCGATGGGAGTAATGGCACAGTAAGATACCTCACAATAAAACAGAGCAATGGAAAGCATTTGTTGTCTGTTTCATCACTCCAGTGTTAATAATCACACTAAGTACGTTGTGGCCAGAGATTTTCGCAAACCCTATTCTCAAAAAGGGGGGGAAATGCTAAATGTCCAAGTAAAAACAATAATTTTTCTTATGAAAAAATTCTAGGAAAGTGCAGAATATTGGAGAAACAGCCTGCAAAAAGAAAAAATATTTTTTTGATTAGAATGAACATTTCACAACAAAATAAGAATTCTAATTATAAGTAACTATTTTTATGGGCTGTATGCTCTCCTTGAACTCATAAAGTGTGGTAGTTCACAACTGAGATGAATCAACTGCTGAGGATACATACTATGCTTGTACAATCAAAATCATACAAACATATGTGCACTGAAGACACATATTAACAAGGCCCTAAAACATAATATGAACTAATACCTTCTTGAGAATTATGTCAAGAAGTTCTACCCCTGATTTTGAATCAAATACCTTAGCTTGATGGCTACTATTCCAAGAAAAAAAGAAACTTGAATTCATCTAAACTAGCAATTTACAACATGAAAAGTCAAGCCATGAATAATAAATGTGAAAAAGAAAACCATATTACATATCCAGGTAAAGGAGTAATCTGGAAGCAACAGGGGGAATTGTGTTGCAATTACAATAGTTGTTACCCCAGATGAGAAATAAAAACCTTTTTTTTTAGCTTTTAGGGTGTATTTTTAGTTCAAGATACGTCCTACTACTTGGAACCAAAGAATTAGTAGATCTATTCCGGTCAAATTGGGACTGAGCAAGGGTTTTGAACTTAAAATCTATGATCTGATCATTGAGTCAATTCCCAGATTATAATTTCCTTGCAGCAAGTGATTGAGTTCAGTAGTTTCCCATATATATTTTATCGACTCTAGAACATAGTAATATGTAGAAAAGAAATTGTTTCAAGAGCCAGCAGATATACCGAGAAGAAGGGAGGGAAAAACCTACCATAAAGCCACCTGTCTCTGTTTGCCACCAAGTGTCAGATATGGGGCATCTTGAATCTCCAACTATATTGAAAAACCACCTGTTAAGATGAAAAAGAAAACGTGTCATACTTCTTGTGTTCAAAAATGTAATCCAGCAACAAAAGTAGAGCTTGTAACCTCCATGCACTAGGATTTATAGGCTCGCCTACACTACTGACAATGAGAAAGAAGAAAACAAACACAAAGCAGTTATGCAGCAACATGAAAATTGTCGAGTCACTTTTCAAAATAAATTAATCAATAACATATGGAGAAGAGAATCTGTTAGTTTCCCCGGATTACAAGGCTGGCATTATAGAGAACAAGAAGGTTAAGAGAATCTTTTTATTTATTTTATTCTATTTGTGGGTTTGGCTTCCACTTAAACCAGTGAGGCATAGGAATATCTGATTTGATTATAATCCTCCTAGGACCTTTCCTACTTTTGTCATGTTAAAGAATCAAAGTAATACACTGATGAAGTAGAAGATTAAAGAGGCAAAGATCTTTCTTCAAGTGCATTAAAAAATTAAAGAACTCAATGACCAGAAAATCAAACTATGAATGGGTCAATGGAATTGGAATATTGAGCACTAGATGTTTCCAAAGTAACAGCATTTAACCCACCTGATTTAACGTTAAGGTCCCAGTTTTGTCACTGCAAATGGTAGTAGCAGAGCCCATGGTTTCACAGGCAGAAAGCCTCCTGACCTGAAGTTCAATATTTGTGAAACATTTAAACATGTACTTTTATGTGTGTATGTATGAATATCAATATCATATGAAGCGACTCAAAGAAAAGATAAATCGCACATACCAAGGCCTTGTCTGACATCATTTTCCTCATTGAGTAGGCAAGGCTGTAATACAGGTAGGGGAATGCACTTTAAGAAATTAAAGAAGCATAATCTTTGAACTAGATAGTAAAAAAGAGACTGGAATGAGCAGGAAATATGCAGCAAAACTAATGATGGCCCCAGTAAGCAATGATGCTGTCAAACTTGAAGATGCTACAAGGACTAAAGTAACTTAGAAGAAAACATGGAAAAACTAGGAATCAACGACATGTCCTCCAATAAACTTCAAAAAGAGAGTGGCAAGAAAAGATAAGCTCTACCTAACACCAATTTTGCTCAACCAACTCCAGATACTTGACAATATTTTTGATCAATTGAAATGAGTTAATAAAATTAGAATGACAACAAAATGACTGGAAGAAGGTCAAACTTACGTTAAGGTAGCGGCTAAGGGAAGCCCTTCAGGCACTGCAACAACCACAATAGTGACCTAAAATTCCTTCAGGTATTAGTAAAATACTCAAAATAACTATATATGAATATATACTAATTACAAATTATGTCTGTAAAACGGCACATACTGCAACAGTGAAAATCTTAATAACTCCATCTATGGCAGTACCAAACTTAGTATGACCAGCCTTGAATTGAGGAGTTCCATCTGTGTTTTTGGTATGTCCAGTAAAGTATCTGCAGATACTCCAATTTATAAGTTTTACCAGTCCAAACTTTGTTTTTTAGAGAGAAATAGAGAATTGAGGAGAGAACTCAACAACTAAGATTGCAATTACCTTCTCAAAAGGACAAACAGAACAACTATAGCTACTGCAAGTCCAACGAAGCCAATAAATGATATTAGCCTAATTTGATGCTAAAGCTCAACATGATATCTAGTCAAGCTACACGCAAGTAAATCCGGACACTTGGTTGTATAAAAAAATAAAAAGGCATTACTAATAATATTTCAAATAGTTAGAATGCATACCTTCTTCATGGTTGGAGTCGGGTCTAAAACCGGGGTTAGGATGGCTTGTGATCTGGACCAGCTTCCAAGCTGTCGCTTTCCTTTCTCGGGCTTGAGGTTGGTGAATCCATTTGCACTGAATTGCAATACTTCCTGACAGCGAGCGAGCTGAACTCGACTGCACGACCGGTTCAAATGAACCGACGCTTTACGGTAATTATTCCCTCTAAGAAAATCAATCTGAGTGTGATCTACATACTTGTGCTTCAACAGTACCACTCTTTTAGCAGCTACATGACTTGTCAACCTCATCACCATGTCCTTCACAGTTGCAGACATTTTCCCCTTATTTCTTATTCAATCTTCCCTACTTACACACACACACACACATATATATATACACACACACACAATAACCCATCAATTATAAACTCGTGTCAAGCCCCCAAGTTCACAAATTTTTGTGCTACACATCAATTATATAAACTCTGAATACTTACAATTACTTACAAATTATAAGTATTGATTGTGTTTTTAAAGGTTAACTCATTCTAAAATTCACCTTCTTAATTGTTGGACTACCTGTCCTGGTTCATCGTGAAACAATCTTACTTATTCATCATCATGGATTCATGGTATTGGTTGAACATTGATTATTTGTTTTCTTTCTTCTTTCTATGCTTTGGTTTTTTGTTTTCTAAACCAGTGAGAAATTGGTTTATTTTACAAGGTAAGGTACAGTACAGTTCTATTAGGAAGATTACATGACGTGTTGGTATTTGAGCAGATCAATACATCAACCAAGAAAGTAAAGTCCATTCTTGGTTCATTCCAATGACATATATTAACATATATCCCTGACAGGATCCCAATGATTATGCAGAAAGATGGAACACCAACAAATCACAAATGAATTTGAATAAAGGTATTGATTGATTTTTAAATTGAAGCTAATTAACTTGCATACCTGGTAGGTGTATGTGGTTTGTACAGAGAAAATGAGAAACACTAATCTAATCAATTGGGTGGTGGTGCCCTGTTCAGGCTCTCTCAGATCAGAGACGTGTGCCTTCTGTCAAAAACAAAAATTACAGTTGGTGCCTTTTTATTAATTTTATTTATTTATTTGTAATTTGAGTGTTTTATTCGTGAGGAGGAGGATGATATGGAAAATGGGTGGTTGAAGAAATTACAATTATGGCGCTAAATCGCTTTGAAAGTAACTGTTGTTTGACTTGTGGGTAGATCATGTAAAGTCCCATGGAGTGGGAGGGAGTTGCTAATTCCACACCCATTATAGTCAAATGGCTCAAATCACTCAAAACGACGTCGTTTTGACAGATTTTGAGTGTAAAACGACGTCGTTTTGACAGATTTGAGCCATTTGAGCCATAAAATTTTGAGCTACCAAACATTTTTCCTTGATTAGATGGTAATGATGTGACGGTAATATGAAAAATTATTATTATTATAATTTTTTTATTATTTATTTATTTATTTATAGTTATGAATAAAAAAGTATGAAATTATGTCATTTTTTTCCTTTAGTTATAAGGTGCATATGATATACACTTTTTGAGGAATGTGTACTATAGTCTTTCCATAGGTTTTTTTTTTTTGGAGCATTTATTCGTAAATACTTTTTCACCTACTTATATTCCACTTAGTCTAAATTATTTTCTTTTGTTCTAATAAATCCTATGAGTGACGTAGTTATCGAAATATCCCTAATAATAATATGGTGAAATACATATTATTGTTCATATTGACAATGTGAATGTTTTATGATGTGACCATTTATACTGTCAATATGAATATTCACTTGTCAATAAGGACATTCACATTGTCAAATATAAATGTTCACATCACAAAATTGTTAAGGGTTCAAAAAATATTTGTAAGGGTAAAATTGTCCATAAAATATCTTAAATATGAGAATTAGAATTTGGTGGATCAAATGTTCAAATAATAGAACTTACTAGAATATAAGAATATGTTATGGACTAATTTGGATACATGTACTTGAAAGAGAATTTTCTGATAAATTTTCCTTTTTAAAAAAAAAGCTCTAATGAATTAAAAGAATTATTATTATTATTATTATTATTATTATTATTATTATTATTATTATTATTATTATTATTATTATTATTATTAATTGTTAGGTAGGTCTTGATGAATTTGAAGAGTTAAAAAAAAAAAGAAAGAGAATTTTTTTTAAGGTCCATACTATTAAAATTTTATAAGATAAAAGATATATAAAATTTTCATAATAGTTGGCGTTTTTCAACATTTTCCCACAGAAATTTTGATACAGAGAAATTTCAAACAAAAATTTCTCTGTGTTTTGAAATTTCTTTGGCTTGTTCAATTTCTCTGATTTTCTCTATGTTTTGAAATTTTCTTTAGCATTTGAAATTTCTTTGATCACATTAAACTCCTAAATTTGTGTGTTAAAATTTCTCTAGCATGTTGATTTTCTCTGTAATTTCTCTGACATTAAGATATCTCATTGAGATATGAAATTTCTCCTGTACCTGTTGATTTTCACTGGGATAAATTTCTCTGTGTGATGGTAAAAAAAAAAATTGATTTTCTTCTCCTTGTTATGTTAATTTTCTCTAGCCAAATCACAGATTCCCCCTTGTGATTTTCTCAGGCCAAATTAACTTGAAACCAATAAACAAGAATGATTCTAAAAAAGAAGTCAGAATTGGAGTTTCACACAACACAACCCCATTGGGACATGAAGATGAAGAAATGATTGTAGTAAAATAATAATAATAATCAGTGTGTTTTGTTTGAGTTTTCTGGATTAAGGTTTTTGAAAATTGAGTTTTTTAGTTTTCGTGTTTTTTTTATTTTTAGTTAATATTTTTAAAATTTTAAACATTTTTTTTACTTTTTTAGATGCACCTTACTTAAATGTATCTAAAAAGTAAAAAATTTGTGAAAAAATATTTTTAAAAATTAATAAATACATAAAAATACAAAAAATGTACTAAATTCTTGTATTTTTTTTGTATTTTTAGTATTTAGTGAATTTTTAAAAGATTTTTTTTACATTTTTTTTGACTTTTTAAGTATATTTATGTTAGGTGTGTCTAAAAAGTAAAAAAATTGTTTAAAATATTAAAAAAATTCAGTAAAAATAAAAAAATATGGAAAATAAGAAAGTATAATTTTCTGAAAAGTGTTTTTTGAAAAATGAAAACAAGCAATAATAATAATAATAATAAAGTAGAAGTGGGAAAGAAAGAAAAAACACACAGAAAGGAAGGAAAGAAAGGGAGAGGAGAGATTAAAATTATGTGCAATCCTACCATTTCATGACAGCGGACAAGGGTTTGAAGATTGAAGAAGAAGAAGATGATGAAGTCCTCTTGTTGTTGTTGTTGTTGTGGTGGGTCCCAAGTGGAAGTAGGTATTGAAATTTGACGAAGATCTGGCCGGTGAAGGATGAGATTTTGGAATTGAGAAGAAGGGAATGATGGTAGTAATCAAAGATGAAGACTCCATCTGTGCGTCTTCTTTTTCTTCTCAAATTCAATAGGTGATCGTAGGAAAGGTGGTGACAGCGAACGCAGTTGAAGAAGTAGAAGGACTCGGCGCCAGAGTGGATGCAGCTGCAGAGGATGCAACAGATGAGCTCGAAGGTGATGGTGGAGGAAGAGATTCACATCTTGTTTAGGGTTGACTCCATGTAGATGCCGCGGCGGACGATGTTGGAGATATTAGGGCTGAGTAAGGAATCCGTGAAATCCGTAATCCGATCCAGTCCAGTCTAATCCGATGGGTTTGGATTGATTTTTTGAATTCGTGGTTCGGTTCCGGATTGAAGAATTAAAAATCCGTAGTCCACAGATTGGTTCCGGATTGGAACTGATCCGGACCGTATACAAATAGTCTATATTTTTATTATACATCATCTCTCATAGTATCTTCTCTTATTCTATATAAAATCTAAACTCAAACATAAAACCGTATAATATCTTCTTTTATTATTTTTGTTTGATGGTTTTTAGTTTTAATTTGTAATGGTTTAAATACTTATGGTGAAACCAGTTTTCTTATGGTTGTTTAAATTCTAGAACAGTATGTCGCTATTATAGAAAAACATGTTGCTATTGTGGAACTAATATAGTGCTATATTTATATTTTCATGAAATTAAAGTGTTATATATATATATATATAGTTTGTTATTTAATTATGTGAATCCGTGGTCCTAAACCGATCCAATCCGTATTTAAATGGATTGGTTCGGATTGGTCTCATGATTTAAACGGATTGGATTGGTTCCAATTTTTCAGGAACCGTAGATAACGAATTGGTTCTGGTTTTACTCCAATCCGGTCCAATCCGGACCATGCTCACCCCTAAGAGATATAGTGGATTGTTGCGAAGTAGAGAGAGAGAGAAAGTAGAGAATCGACTAAGGAGAGAGAAAATAGAGAATGAGAAAGTGGGTATGGGTGCGGGTGCGGGTGCGGGTGTGGGGGACCTTAGGTTACAAAAAAAAACAAATATTGTGAATTTTTTTCATTATCAAAAGTTAGATAGAGATGTTAAATTAATTATTCTAAAAAAAAGTATATTAAAAAAATTCACTAAAAATTTAAAACATTAAGAAGTTAACTTTTTATTTTTAGTGAATATTTTTAAAATTTATTTTTTCAAATTATTTTAAATTAGACAAATTTAAAAGTAAATTTTTTTAACGTAAATTAAAAAATATTTCACTAAAAATAAAGAAGTTCAGTAAAAAAAAAAGACTTCGTTTAGAAAGTGGGTTGACTTTTGACTATTTTAATTTGGGGCTAAAAAACCTTATTTGGTTGAATTTTTTTTAATTTTATAAATAAAAATAAAATAATTATAATTTAAATATAATATTTTATTTTATTAATTTTTTAATTTATTTTATTTTATTTTAACTATTTTAACCTAATAACCTTATAAACGAGGGCAACAAATACGACCTTTTAGCTGTGTCTCCAACATTGACTGGATAAGCGGCTCTGTTGTTTGGCAAGTTGGTTTGTGGCTAAAATAGCCACAACAGATAAAATAGGTTATTTTAGTCACAACAAACAAAACATCACATCCAACTCATAATTATTATACTATTCTTTCACAAAAAAGTCAAAAAGTCCTTCCCAAATTAAATTTTTTTACCCAAACTAAAATAGTCAAAAAAATCAAAAAATCAACTCACTTTCCAAACGGAGGCCCAATTGATTCATGATGCTCATGAGGCATATTCTAATTAGAAAATTCAGACCCTTAAACATATATTAAAACTTCTATAAAATGTCATAGGTGTGGGACTTACTTCACAGACCCTAAAACATTTATTAAATTTTTTATAAAATGTCATGTATAAGTATAGGACCTACTTTACGTGAATTTTATGTGAACCTCACATTTATTCGAGATATTTAATAAAAAAATTAATAAATCTTTTAGTATTTTCAACATTGTTCATTCTAATTAGCTTTTATTTTTATAAGTTGGAATAAATTCAACCTTTATCAGCCACCAACTACAACAATAAAATAAATGATAAATTACACGAATCTCTCTCAAATTTTTTTTAAAAAATAATTTTTTTTATAATTTTATTATAAATATATTAATTTTTTCAAAATATTTTTGAGAATGTCTTTTTTTTTATTTATAAATATTGTCAAAGTGAGTTTACAAATAATATGAAAATATATATTTTAATTATTATTTTTCCACGCAGATGAACAAATTTATAATAAAAAAGGTTTAAGCATTATCTAAATTAAAAATTTAGCAAAATATAATTATGTCAAAATTATCTAAAATTAAAATTTTAGCAAAATATAATTATAATAAGTCAAATTTATATAATTTTAATTTACTTTAAAATAAATAAACACAAAATATTAAATAAAAGCCACCCATAATAATTCGACACTGGCCTTTTTAAGCGGTCAGAGGGAGAGAGAGTGGAGATTTTTTTTAAAAAAAAAAAATTGATCAGCAAGAGAGAGATTTCATGGCGACTTCGAAGCTTCAAGCGCTGTGGAACCACCCTGCAGGCCCTAAAACCAGTGAGTTTTTTTTTTGTTTTCGTCCCGGAAGACTCATTTCTAAGATTCTCTCGATTTTTTTTAATAAATAAATTTTTATGCTCAACAATTAGATCTAATTTATTCGTCATATAGATTCGTGTGCGTGTTCGTAGACTCTAATTACTTATTACTATTGATTCTTGCAGATTAGATCGAGAGTTTAATGAATGATTCTTGATCTCCAACCCAATTAAAAGCAAGTTTTTTTTTTTTTTTGCCATTATCGTAAATAAATCCATCTTCAATGTGTTTTTTTTTTTTTTAAGTGCTGGAACATATTGATTTTGGGGATTGGTTTGTTGGAGTGTTCTTCAGATGATTATTACTTAAAAACTTGGGCCTTTATTTATTTGATAAGTAAAAAGTTAGGAAAATTCTAAACATACATAAAATTCATACAAAAAACAATGATGTGGGGTTGCCATTATCGTAAATAAATCCATCTTCAATGTGTTTTTATTTGAAATGAAAGGTCCATAATGAATTACATCATCATGTATAATTTTGTTTTTGTTTGTATAGCGCTACTCAAAAAGTTATTATTGATATGCCAAAAACTTCATATACAAAAGTATAGCCAGAAGCTCACAAAAAATTGAGCTCATCAACAAAATCTACTAGAAGAAAGAGAGGATTCACAAAAAAAAAAAAAAAAAAAATTACACCAGAAATGAAAAGTGTGCAAAAGAGTCATGCTTAGCTTTTGAATTCCCAAGTTCGATTCTTCAAAAATGCGCGAACATTGAAAACAAACGGATTGTTAGTTATTGGATGTATGGGAAGTTGAAGCGAACATTGAAAACAAACGGATTGTTAGTTATTGGATGTATGGGAAGTTGAAGGAAGGTCTAATTGAGGAGAATGGTTTGTTGTAGGCAACGGCAGTTAATGGACTGGTTATGAGAATTATAAGCTAAAAGGTAGCTGAAAGCAATGTTGGTTGTGGTTGTAAGAAGAGATATAACAAATAATGTATAGATGAATAGAAGGGTACTTCGATTGATGAGAACAGAGCTAAGGATTTCTATATTTGACCAAAATAGTTTGGTGATGGTTTTTTTAGTTGACCCAAATGATTAGGTAATGATTTATTGAGTTTAATGGAGGATATAATGGATTAGTTGACTGCATGGAGCACAAATTTTGTAATGAAATGAACATAGGGACTTGAGTTGACTTAAACTCGGATCACCTACTTCAGACCACCCAGGGAAGCCTTATATAAAGGCCTTGTTTAGAAATGAATTCAACTTGTTAATTGCTTAAGATTGTTGTGCAACTTTAACTTCTTGTTTTTCAATCTGTTTTGTGTTATAATTTATCAACGGTTCATATATACGTTTCCTGTTGTCAGTTATTAATTTATGCATCTATAACTCTTCTATTGCTGCAGTTCACTTTTGGGCACCAACTTTTAAGTGGGGCATCAGCATCGCCAATATTGCTGACTTTGCTAAACCACCAGATAAACTTTCTTATCCACAACAAATTGGTATGAAACATTGATGATTTTGCAAATGCATTACATTATTTCTTCATGCATGCACACCTGAGGCTTCCACCCACAACACACATGCACATGCACGTGTAAGCAATTTTAATTTTCATAATTCTCGTACTAGTTGTTGTAGCATACAGTCCTTTTCTTCCTACTTTAGTAATGAAGTTGTTTTTTTTTCTTCTCTCTGTCATGTGGTGTACAGCGGTCACAGCCACTGGAGTTATCTGGTCACGATACAGCACTGTAATCACCCCGGTAAGTTTGATGATTGACAAAGTACTCCAGTTTTGGAGTCAATAAATTTTTTGATCTAATGCCTTTGTCATATGGGGAGAGGCTTTCTTTTGTAGTGTAGAATTAAATACATATTACATAATTGTGTGGCTTCCTTTTTGTATTTCCATCCTTGGTACTTCATAGTTCATAAGTTTATTTACTCCATTTTTGGTGATTATGTTTTTCATGATGTTTTTATGTCAAGATCACTCAATTATGTATTGGACATGTTTGATTTGTTAGCTGTAAAATACTTTTAAAGACAATTATATCTCTGATTGCATTATTAAGATGATTCATGTGCTATGCTTTAATTTAGGAGTTAAAATCTTAGTTTTTCTTCTCTTTTGAGAAGAATGAATAGTTAATTTCACGAAAGATTTTTTGTTTTTGTTTTTGTTCAGTCATGATTTAGTTTTGTGGACAAATCAGCTGACCTTTATCTAAATTTCCTCTTTCTTATTTGCTGTAACTTGCAGTGCCTAAAACTTATCTAAATGATTAAAACTGATTAATTTGCCTCCATTTTCTCCACTCCCCCTCTCTAAACTGCTTTCTGAAACACTTCTCATCTTTAGTTCTTTTTCTATATCATTCACTGGTTTAGAAGTTTCCAGCCAGGTATGGACAAATATACAAAATATGTATTAAAGTGTCAAGCACATGGAGTCATGTGTGAATGGCTGCATTTGACTCTTTCCTCTCAATTGATCTTTTTCATATTCTGGAAGAAGAGCTCATCCACTTTTTTGGAAAAATAATAGGCACATCAGATCATGGTAGGTAGGTTAGAGAGTGGGTAAATATATGAAGAAAATTACATATGATCCTAAACCCCTAAATGAGAAAAATATGCATGTCTAAAAGTACAGGCTAGTGTCTGATGTCCAGGATTGCTTATGTACTGTCAAGCTCGTCACATTGGTTGAATTCTTCCCTTGAGCTATCAACTCTGATGTGGCGGTATTTTCAGTTTTCAAAAAATACTGATGTATCTTTTTCTTCTATTTTTGGTTTATTTGATCCCTCTTCTCCTGTGCTACAACAGGCCCTTGCAGTTAAATTTGTAGTTCCTCCCTTAGTTTGCTTTTGAGCTAGAGGTTAAACAAATTCATAAATGTCCAAGGGAAGAGCAGTTTGCCGTTCATAGGTTGTCCCTACCAAAAAGAGGAGAAATATGGGAATTGTCCCTTTTTTCTTTTGTAAATATGATCCGAGAGGGAGAGAGAGAGATTCAAATTTTGTAAATTTTTTAGAAATGTACTCTAAATTAAAAGAGATTCATGGAAAATATAAAATTGATCTCTCTCATTAATGTGAGAAGTTATGTTTTTTTACTAGCAAATGTAAGCATCTTATTTTTGAACATTATATAAAATTAAAGGATCCAAGTGTCTAAATTGAGATATGGATATTGGATACATATCCCAAACCCTTTACTCTTGTCATATCTGGTGGGCACAAGTACATTGGGGCAAGTAGAAGAGTCCATGTAACACACACGTTTCTTCCTTCCTCAAAGAGTTCTAATGATGTCAATTTCCATCCAATATGATTGTCATGTGCAAAGCCCTAGAGGAATTTATATCTGGCCTTTCTCTTCAATGGCCGTTGACACGACAAGTTTTCAAGTACCTCTTATTCTTAAATTTTATTACCCCAGCAGTTTCTAGCCATAGCAGCCACTTGTCAACAAATCCATACGTTTGGTTTTGGAGCTTAATTAAATGTTTAAATCTGGTGGTATTTTTATTAGGTTTTCCATCATTGACTCTTCTCATATATTGGGGATGTACGGTAAGGGACTCCCTTCTGATCCAGCTGCAGTGCCAAGAAATCCCTTTTTCTCGGTGGCCAACATCAGTATTTCCATAGGATGTCAAAACCTCCAACAGATGGCTGCCTCCAGAGCTCCGAGTTCCTTCTTACGGTCCACCTCACTTATATTGATTCCCAAGAATCTCCACCAATCCCATGTCCTACTACTCTGACTTGGAGTGACCCAATTACCAATAGGAACCGAAATCCATTAGAACTTGCCTGGCAATTTCATTACTTGTCTAGTGGGAAATTTTAGAGTGAGCAATTATCTTTTATTGTCACTTATTTCTAAATTAGGTTTTCCATACTGAGGAATCTCAAGCACAGCTGTAGGTTCAAGAGGGGGAAAATTGCAAAACTTGATTTTCTCTCTTTGCTGAACATCAATAAAGTCTTTTACTGTGTGAACCACTTCATTTGCTCTACTTTGTGAAAGTGCTAGGAAGGTAGTTAGGGTTGGCAGCTAACGTTAATTTTCAATTCTCAGCTTTCAACCCTAATCCTTACGCCAAAGCATCCCCCCTAATATATTCATCCAAGCATGTAACCCTATTTGGCATTGCGAAAGGAGGAAATGTGCCAGTATTTTTCTCTCTTATTTTTATATTTTTTCGTATTTTTTCCTTATTAGCAAGGCAAGTGTCATTCTATTTTCTTGTGGTTGAATATCTATCGTCAATTCTCAACCTTAATCCTTAGGCCAAAGCACCCCTTCTAATATTCCTATCCAAGCATGTAACCCTTTTTGGGATTGAGAAAGGAGGACATGTCTGTTTGGATTGAGTGATTTGATGAGAAATTATATGAAATGAAAATAGAGAGCTTCTTTTTCTTCTTCTTCTTCTTCTTCTTCTTCTGCTTCTTCTTCTTCTTCTTCTCATATTTGGTTATAAGTTAGCTGAGAAATGATAAGAAATAGAGAGCAAGAGAAGTCTCTTATTTTATAAGTTTCATTTCTCAGGAAAAGTGTGAGATTGATGATAAACAAATTGATTGGTTGTGTATTTTTCATAATACCAAGATTGCCTACAAAGGAAGAAAAAGATTTTCCACCCATATTCCTATATCACATACTTTGCTTTTTTTTTTTTCTCACTCAAACATGATAGTGAAAAAAATACAATCATTTCTTTTTTTTCTCACCTAGATGAGGGACCACAATTATTTTATTTTCCTGCCCCATGATCCAGGTGGAGTGAAAATGTGCTAGTATTTCTCTCTCTCTCTCTCTTTCCCCTTTCTTTTTTTTTACCCTTTCTGCAGCTCTTCTCTCTCTCTTTTTTTTTTTTTTTTCTTTTACCTTGCTAATGAGGAAAGTGCTATTCTATTTTCTGATGGCTGAATATCTATCCTCATATGTGATGTATGCTTGTTAGGTAATGTTTGCAACTCAGTTCTGTCTATATAAATCGAAGAACAATAATGATATGTGCACATAAAAGTTTTTTTTTTTTGGGGATGGATAAACATAAAAAGTTAATGATGTATATTTTAGTGATTTGTAATGCACTTTTGGATTTCATCAATAAAACCTTTGTTTTGCTGATCTAAAAGTTAATGTGCATCCCAGATACATTGTAGGTGCAGTGGGGACCACACCCAAAATGAATTAGGCCCACACATTGATTTTTCTGTTCACATTTGTGTGGATTTTATCTGCGCAGGCAGCATTACTGATCTAAGAATGTTTTTCCCCTTGTATGGATACTAGATCTGTCATACCCAAAAAGTTGAGAATGATGTACAAGTGTTGCTAATCTTTGATGCCTTCGACCAGTGTTGTCCATAGAAGAATTTCAATATCAACGCTTTCAATACTAATGCTCTGTTTGTTTCGGCAAAACATTTTTCAAAAAATATTTTTTTGCATTTTTTGGCATTTGGTATGACAAAAAAACCCGCCATCACTAATACCACGACAAAAAAAGTTTTCTGCCAAAACAATTGGAGTGCAAATTTATAAAATGGTTGCTGGTTGCCCACCCACTGTCTACATGTGTGTTTTGAGGCTCATAAAGACAGTGATAAGTCTGTACCAGTTCATTTGTGTGGTTAGTCTTAGGGAATTTGGAGAAAAAATATGATCAAAACATTGTTTAACGACTTCATAGATAGATGAGCACCCCAGCATCAAGCAACCTTTGTAGTACCTTATAATCCCTGATGAGGAAGAAGTATAACATATTTCTTTCCTTTTCCTTTAATCTCTCCAGTACCTTAAGAATGATCCTCTCCCTTTATTTTACTTCAACGGCACTCTCTGATGAAGTTTTTGGATAATGCTGATCCTTTTATTATTTTTTATCATGGCTGCAGAAAAACTGGAATCTTTTTAGCGTCAACATTGCAATGGCAGGGACAGGCATCTACCAGCTTTCAAGGAAAATCCAGTAAGTTGGTTCAAAATCCAGGAAGTAAAGGAACATCTGCTTTGCAACCCTTTCAGTCGATGTATAGTTTTGCACTTTCAGGCAATTTTGAAAGATAAGGATAAAATATTTATATTGTTCCTAAACTATTTGTTCCAAATCATTTTGGTCCTTCAAGTTTCAATTTTGTCAATTTCATTCTTAAAGTATACAATGAGTCAAATTGGTCCAATTTTAATGAATACATATATAGTCCCTAAAGTATGAGTTCAATGTCACCTTGGTCCCGAAAGTTTTAAATTTGTCATGTTATTGATGAAGAAGATGAAAAATAGTCTTTATATTGGTTAGGGACAAAATTATAACTTTAGGGACCAAAGTGATACAAAATGCATACTTTGAGGATCACATGTCAGTTTTGTAGTTACTCTGTTAACGATTGAGATGACCGTCTGTAATTGGACAAATTTAACTAAAATTAGAGATTTTTGGGATGAAATTGAAACTTGAAGAACTAGGGTGACATGGAGTGCATACTTTTAATATCATTAGTGTAGTTTATCCAAAAAGAAAAGAAAAGAAATGGTTGTACAAATGTACGTAATAGGCATTTCTATCCACCTGATAGACAATAAGGTACACCCATTATCTTCTCCCTGGTAAAACCCCCGAGTTTTTGACTACACCAAGATATCGTCAAGGTGCTACTAATATTGTGTGTTAGGTTATATGATGGCCATTTGGTGGTTTATAGTTGATTGATATGCTTGCTGTGATTTTCGACATGCTCATTATTGTTATGGCCATTATCGACAATGTAATAATATTTAAACTATTCAACAATTTCAGGCATGATTACTTTTCCAAGGAAGAAGCTGTTGTTGCCAAGGAATGATGACGAAAAATCTCAAGGACTTGAAGTCTTTTTGGGACCATTTTGCCTTACTAAAATCAAGTTCTTGGTTTTATGTTTAGTTCTTGCCTTGTGTTTGGTGATTTTTTTATTTGTGACATGATGGAATTCACAAACTGTGGCTACTGAATTGCCAGTGTGCTATTATTAAAGCAGCAAATAATATTTTGACTCCACGGGACGTTTTATAATACTTCTGTTGTTGAAATGCCTCTACTGAGATACTGGGGACATTTATTGTACTTCTAGTTGTTCAAATGTCTATAAAAATGTCACTTTCTTTTCATCCATTTAGGCTGTGTTTGGAGGGTAGGAGTAGAGAGGCGAAATGGAAATCTCATTTCAAGTTTCCTTCAGTCTATCATTTGTATGTATTCAGACATGGAATGTGATTTCGGACATTGATGAGTAAGCAATCAAGCAGGGTTGTAGACCTGACCTTTGGGATTATTTGCACAAAGTGGAACTCGAACCTTCATTCTCAATTTTGGCAGCCCAAGTTTTTTCCATTGCACCAAGCAATGCCCCTATGACAACATAACCAAACCTGTACTGTACATAATTTTGAGTGGAAGACAAATGCATTCTTGTTTGAGTTAATTTCACTTTTATCTTCTAACTAGGGACATCTTTTTGCCCTACACCATCTTTAATGGAAGTGTCTAATTGAAGCTAATATGGTTTAACTCAAGATGGTTGTTGAAATCAGAAATCATTGAAGTCTAATTTGATGGCAAAAAATTATTTCAAAATTTGAACATCTTAACCAAATTACTCATTTTTTTTCCTTAAATTTTTTTATTCTCTATTTTGCATTTTTGGTTGTATGATTTAGGTTGTCTACCATTTGGTTAAGTTTCTATCATTACTTTTTTTTGACATACTGTCTCTAATTGGACCGTCTAAACTGAAATTAAAACTTCAGAGATTAAATAAATGAAATTAATAGTTTAAAAATAAAATTAGAAAAAATGACAATAGTTCAAGAGATAAAAAGTAAAATTAACCCTTCTTGTTTCAAACTCATGGTCTAACCTACTGCAGCCATTTGGATTCTGAACTTGATACAGAAAGACACAAGGTGCTGACAAGTTTATGAACAAAGAATGAAAGCAACAGCTAAAATTTAAATCACATTTTGTAGGAAAAATGATACACTCAAAAGGAAATTTTGAATCAACATATGATAAAAAGCTAGATAGGGTATGTTAATGGTGTATCACATGCTTGCATTAAAGTATCCAGATTGAGCATCTGTCTCACCTCTTGGCCAAGTTTGCCAACCCCTAAGTAAAAATAAACAATACAAAATTATGAATAACCAGAAAAACAGTATGCCCAAACCTCCTTAACAAACAGGGAGTTAATAAGCAGTTGAGAATTATCAAGCAATTTGCACCAATGCAAAGTTCACAAATAAAAAAAGAAAAAATAAAACAACAACAAAGCATGTAAAATCCAGAAACAAATTTGTTTCATTCAATGGTAAACAATATTGATACTCTCTCAATACAAGAATTCTAATACAAATTGCGAATCAGCTCAGCAGGGGAGCATCAAATGAAGAATGAAGTTACATGCTTAAGCCGCTTGAATTCACCTTCTCCCTCTCTCTCTCTCTGAGGACTTGAGAAACCAGAAGGAAGACATCTGCATTTCTAAAACAGGCACAAATTGATAGGCCACTTCCTCTGCTCTCTCCTTTTAAGCCAAAATTTTCTTTAAAAAAGCCATCCCATAATGTACCCGCACTAATTCACTCTACCTTTCCAACTGGCCATTTTTACTTTGATTTGTCTTCACATTAGAATCAGGGTCACCATCGCGGGAATTCAAGCCCAAACTTAGATCCAAAGTGCTTTCATTCAGATCTTGCCTTACTAATGGAGTATCATCATCCAGAGCCTGACATGAAAGTACAATTCACAATTTCATAGAAGGCACACAAATTTAATGGATAGTGGATACATATCAACTTTAATGGATAGTGGTTAGTGGTTGTATGCTGGTTATCCAACCTACCCTTCCTTATCAAGCCAAAAAAATAAAATAAAATAAATAAAATAATAATTGCATTTTAATGGGAACAACTCAAAATAATTGTAATTTCATGGAGTAAGTCAGTTTGTGCCTGGTGCAAGTGAAGATTGTAGCATTTGACACAGCTCTCACTTGCAACCACTTGCGCCTCTATGAAAGTGCAGTTACTTGTAGTAAAATGCAATTTCCCCCCGTAAAAGGATGCATGTCAACTTCAAGGGGGTTTAGAAGTGATTAGAAAATAATGTGAGTCTATTTTGTTTCCCATGGAAATAACAATAATGCTAAGTGCACAAACATGTAACACATAAAAATACACATACATTGTACTGTGGTTGAAATTTATTTTGGATATAGTGTGGGCCACACTTCTTGTGGAAATAAAAGGGAGGGGGAAAAAGAAAAAGAAAACTATCATGCGACACCAAGGAAAGGGAGAAAGCCTGTTCTTTTTCAGAAAGTATAAAAATAATTGGAGATACAAAAAACGTATTGCACATTATGCAATACCATGGAAAGGGATACTAGCCATGAGTTCACTTTTAATTCCAAATCAAATTGATTGCCATTTTCTAAATAATTGCAAGAGTGCATCTCCTCTCCGCGCACAAAGGTTTTTTGTGCAAGTCAGTCAAAAGAAAAGATTTTTTTTCCTATGAGAATGGAAGAGACTCAACTACAAACTCAAATCAAGAACAATGAATAAAGGAATGAGGACAAAAACATTAAATTGAGTCACCTGACTTTCTTCCACAGGCACATCATTAATGTCAGGTTTTTCATCCAAATCATCATTCTTGGAAGTTGGCTCTGCCGCATTTGGATCAGTATCCCTTGGTTTAGCTTCATCATCAACCATCTCTTCGGCTTCATTTTTTTGTTCTTCTAGCACAGCAATCTGAATGTCAAGTTATCCAAGAAATCATCTATCAGCAAAGCACATAAAGGGAAAGGTCTGTCTTGGTCACATACTAAGAGAGTACCAAAGGAGAATAATATAGTGTTGTGGTGACTCCTAAGTTATGTTACTATATGTATTGAAGCGAAATGAGGTATAATGAGTACGAGCCAGTATCATGATTTAATCAATTCAACTAGCAACTTATCCCATTGCATATTTAATACGCTATAACATGCACAAACAATTAGTCATAAATCCTTTCACATTATTTTGGTTATATGTCCAAAGTAGGAATTGATAACAAGCAACAGGAACGTGAAAGCATGAGCCTGAATAGCAGCAGAAGGATACCAACACATGTTCTTCTCAAATCCATCCTAGGTTTACTTTCTCACTCACTCTCCACTGCTGATTTGTACAGACTTTCAAATCATTAAAAAGCATCAAATTCCAAATTATTATTTGTCAAGACAAAAATGCCTATTGTACTCCCTCCCCCCCCCAACCAAACAGTTCAACATATATATAATCCTGAAGAACATAACATGATTCAAATTGGCAACCTTAAATAATTTGAATGAAGCTTGATTGAGCTGGAAATGCAGCAAAGCAGATTTTAGAGAACTAGACAACCACAACCATATCACAGTAACACAAGCAAAAGTTTCCAACATTTTAAACAAAGTCTTCAACAAGAATTTTAAAACAACTAAAACTTGTTTTTTTTTGCTGGTGCTCAAAGCAAGTAACTTGTAACACTGATTTCAGTGCCCACAACAGCAAATGTGTAGGCATCCATGTCTTACACGCAGCTAAAATGCTGAATGAGGCTACATTGTTACTTAAAGCAATAGAAGCCTCATTTTATCCCTCCAAAAACTAGAAGTGGTGAAAAGAGTTATGAATTAACCCATCAAAATCCAAGAACAAACAGACCTGCAAAATCTATATGTTTGCAAATTTCTCATGTTCAATATTTGGAGAAGAAGTACCTTTATCAAGGAAGCATATTGTTAAAACATGCACTACTACATGCATCATGTGTGTTACATGCCCCCTCAACAGATTCTTGTCCTACAAGGGCTTCTGGGTGGGCTTCTGGGTAGATCACATAGTGACAGCTAAACAATTAGATTGGTGCTGCTGGCAAACACTCAAGTCAGCCTCTTGCTAGTTTGCCAACAAGTGGAATCAGGAATTCAGGATAAGCAAACCAGGTGCAAAACACACATCATAATTTATGACCATGTACTAATCTACAAACAACATGACCAATCTCCAAAACTACTTCCATGAAGCTAGAATAACTTTTTCAGGTTCCTTCATGTAACCCCACCCCCCTCAACCCCAAATCACCAATCCAATGGGGAAATGCCAAGCCTGTTAGGTTTTCAACTCAATGTAAAGCAACAAACCATTAATTCCTAACATAAAGCAAATGTTCCCATTATTGAATAAATTCATCACCATGGCCTTGTTTGGTTTCTTTTTGAGAAAAATTTTCCAGAATTTGTTTTTGAAAAAATTGACACTAATTTGATAAAAATAAATATTTTTAAAATTTAAAGTCTTAAAAAATTATATCTGGCCTCTCAAAAGATTAAATAATATAAAAATGAAAATTGTTTTTGATTTTTTTAAATTTCTTTCATCAAATTAATTTTTAAATTTTTAGAAAAAAATTCTGAAACAAGTTTCTGAAAACCAAACCAAACATAGCCTCTCCAACAGTCCAATTCCTATTTCAAATTTTCAATTACCAGTTCAAATCTCTGTCAAACATGATTTCCAACATAAAAAGAATAAGAAATCTCTTTTCTATTGGTGTTCAGAGACATATAAATTATAATTAAGCCATTCATTTTATAGATGAATAAAGAAGATATGCTATGAAGGAAGTAATTCTAGCCTATATGTGATAGAAATGTCATACACATGCCCAACCCTCAATATACCTTGACACACATGACATACCAATTGTTCCATGTTCAAGTTTGCAACTTCAGGATATTGAAACAATTGGTCAGTAAACTACATTCCTCACCAATTGTATTTACAATCAGCAGCACCACTAGACACCCTTAGGCCACCACAAGTAGATTCAGAAGAGACAGAGTATACTGCCACCACTTGCTCTTATCTACTGCAATTTATTTAGTTATTTATTATTTATTGTTTTCTCCACTAGGACAACCTCAAGATTTAGGCCATAACTCCATCATCATTGCAAGGATGGTACAAGTATTTATCAGTAATAAACAAAACAATGCTCCTTTGAATTGTAACTATTCCAAATAAGCAAGCATACCGAGTTTTTCATACTACAAAGAAAGAAAAAAAAAAAAACAAAAAAACTTGTACTTACTTGCAACTTCACATTTCTCTCTACAAATATATCTATATTTTTTTTATTGGCAATATATAACAAATGAAATGAAGCAAAAGAAAGACAACACAAATGATTAAATGAAAAAATGACACCAGCAGCAGGTACTTTTTTTTTTTTTTGGATTGGTACCAAAGTATTTGGAAAAAAACCCGACTAATTCTCAGGGGTGCATATGCTCTCTCGGTAAGGAGTTTCTCGCAAGTGCACTACAGTTAATTCAATCGGTTTCCCCCAGTCTGATGGCCGCAAGAAATTGCTAACACTTAAGAAGTTTGATCCCTGAACCTTGGAGGGAACACAACCCCAAGACCTAAGACCTTGTTCTGGGCACCAGCAGCACGTACTTTGCATTGTCTCATGAAACGATATTACAAAATTTTGTATTTCATTACAAATAAATCCAATTGACTGAAGAAAGAAAAAAAGGCCCGGTGTATCTATTACTTAAGGGTGTGTTTGGTTGAGCGATCTGGCAAGGAATTTGGAAAGGGAAAGGAAAAAGATTGATGAAATGTAAATAAAATATACTTACATTTCACCTAGTTTCATCTACCTTTTCCCTTTTCTTTTTCAAATCCCTCCCCAAATCTCCCAACCAAACACAACCTAAAGCAATTCACTAACATTTATCCTACACCAGTGTCATTGTTTAATGGCGGTAACCTATATTACAGATCGATCATCATTCAAGGCAGAGCACATGAAAAAGTGGTTTACATAAATAGCTGAGCCTATGTGAGCGGAAAATTATTGAAACCAGACAAGTAATGGAGTAGAATACACTCCCAATCAAATATTAGAATGAGTGATTTGTTGCATTGATATGTATGATCTTTCTACTATACTTAAGAGCACAGTATACAAAAATTGTCTCAATTCCAACAATTTAAGGACTCCAAAACCACCATGTTCTTCTAGCAAAATCATCATCCCATCAACAATCCCAAAATTGTAAATTTAAAATAGCAAAAACCCTACACCACTGTTAAACATCAGATACCAATACCAATACCAATTCCCTACCTAAACAATGAATCCACAAACCCTAGAAACAAAAACCCATCTCCATATCCATTCACAAAATACATATACATGTGCACATTTACATTGAAATAAAAAAAATAAAAAAATAATCGACGATGAAACTGAGGAAATAGAAAAATACCGGAATGTATCTGAATTTACGCCGAGGCGGTTCCTCCGCCGCACTGGCGGTGCTATCTACGGCGGCGGCGGCCTCCTCCTCCTTGGCGGAGCTCTTCTCGCCATTACCATTACTGTTACTGTTTTGGCTTGGAGTAATTGGGGTCCATTTATAGAGAAGAAGGTGAGAGCCGTTATTACCGTTAATACCGTTATGATTAGCAGTTTGAGATTGATGATGAAGATGATGATTCGAAGAAGCATTGTTGGCGGTCTGTGGTGATACGTGGACCCATTTCTTCTTCCACTTCCTCACCGGTCCGTTGAAAACTGTTGAAGTCGGACCGTACCGAGTCGAGGACCGGCCGAGTCGGGCCCCCACTCCCTCCATCACGCGGCGGCGAATCGGCGGCGAATTCCGATCCGTGAAAGAATGACAAAAGGGAGTTTTTTTTTTTTTTTTTTTTTTTTTTTTTTTTTTTTTCTCTCTCTCTAGAAGTTTTGTGGGTTTCTATGTTTGGTAAGGATTAGGTAGTACCGGTAGGGAATCTGGGGAAGATCAGGACCGTTGAAAACATGAACTGTTTTTGTAAGTCTGATAGCAGAGCTTTTTTTTCTTTTTCTTCTGAGATGATGGCCTTGTAATCATTCTTAGGCCAAGTTTAGCTATTCTAAATAAATACGCACTTTTTATTTTTTTATTTTTTTCATCATTTTTATATTTTTTTACATATCTTTTTATAAAAAGACAAAAAATATACTTATTTAAATCATCCCAAACAATCCCTTACTATTTTTGGAGTTCTCTATCATTGCTATTACTTCCGACAATGAATTTGATAGTTTGTTGTGTGAAGAATTTTGTGGTTGTCAGTGATTGGTTTCATGGGGCATCATGGTATTCATCGGATAATTTTGGATTCAAGTAATTAGGTGTCTTTTAGAAAGTGATTATAATTTACATCTATACAATCCACTTCTTTTTCTTACAAAAAATTTATTATAATCAGTTTTTAATCAAAAAATTGATTATAATTATCTTTTCAAAATAGTCCTTACTTTTTTTTACTATTGCATTCCAAGGCCCTGTCTGCAACTTTTTTTTTTTACTAAAATAATTGATAGAAAAAAATTAAAATAATTAATAAAATAAAATGTTACATTCTATATATTAATTAATCATTTTTCTCTCATAATCATCTATTTAACTACCAAAAAAAAAAAAAATCATAAATCATTTCAAGCACATTTTTTTTTTCATCTCATAAATAATTAAAAAGTAAAAAAACTAACTAAAATAACCATATTCTCAAGGCCCAAATTTGGGCATGGGTACCACTGCCTTCTGGTATTTTAGAGTTAAATGTTGAAAAGTTCATTAGTTACGGGGCCGGCCATATGTTATTTGGTTTAATATTTATTTATTTTTTTGGTGATAAGAAAACGAGTTGAAAATTTGTCAAAAAATTAGTTGAAAAAGTTGTCGAAATTAAAAGTTGGTGACAATGAAATAGATAAATAGATAAATGGTACGTGTATAAATATGTGACATTTATACAAATAAATAAATATATAAACTTAAATGGATATGTGTGCTTTCAGACAAATCAGAATCATTATAGCCTAAAAATATTTAAGTTTAGACCTATTAATTCCAAATTATAAAAATAAACTTCTTACTTGAGTATCCTTTTATTTATTTATTATGCTTTTGTTTGAGTTGTGTGTTGATTTTTTGATTTTTTAACTATTTTAACCTAGGTTAAAAAGTCATGTTTGTAATAATTTTTTTGACTTTTTTAACTTTTGTAAGAAAAAAAAAATAAAATGATTATAGTTTAGATGTGATATTTTATCTTATTAATTTTATAACTTATTTTGTCTTTTTGTAATTATTTTAACCTAAAATCAACCTGTCAAATGTAGCCATATATATAGGTTCGTTTGTTTTCAGAGGTAGATTGGATGTGATTGTTAGTGAGGGGATTATTAGTGAGGAGACTGTTAATGAAGGGACTAAGAAATTTGCGTTTGTTTGATAACCAGTGGACTAACAATAATTTTTGTTTGTTTTGAGAGATAGGAGTGAGATTAACTAGTTAAATTCCATAAATACCCTTGTTACATTATTATGAAATTTGGAAATCATTAGTGAGTGGATTATGAAAAATTGTGTTTATTTGTGATATATTTTAATATTAAAAATAATGTTTTATAAAAAATATTATTATATTAAATTATTTTTATAAAACAAAATTATATGAAATTATTTTTATAAAAATATTAATATATTAAATTATTTTTATAAAACTGAATTATGAAAACAACTCAGCCTAGCCCATGGTTTTAACCATTCCATGGTTTTAAACAGTGTATTGAAAGATTTTTTTCACTTAAATATCGGTTCATTGTTCATTCATCATCATCTTTGCCTTCTCTGTTAAAAAAAAAAAGAAAAAACAGAGCATCACTACAAGGACAACGATGACACCAATCTTCACCGTCAACGACGACGACGACGATGACGCAATGATGCCGATCATTGCCGTCAACGCCGATGCCGATATTCACAGTCAATGCGATTTTGTTTTTCTTGCAAATTTCAATTTTGTATAATTTCATATCATGTAAGTCTTTTGATTTGTATCTCTTTTGTCTAATTTAGTCAAAGATCGGAGCATCACTCTTCAATTTTACTGATCTAATTTGCAATTTGTCTACACTTCTATTTGATTGGTGAGAAAACCGAATGAAATATGCATATATATATATATATATATATATGATAAGAGAACAGAGAGAGAGGAGAGAAGAGAAGATGAGAGGGTAAACAAGTAAATTACTCTTCTAATACCAACGGACTAATTTTCAATACCAAGTGTTGGGGCAGACTAACAATCCCAACATGTAAGGCCCATCTGAAGCCCTCTGGCTTATGAATCCATTCCACAAATTAGTAAACAAACAGGAGTTATGTCCACTATTCATTAGTCATAGTCCACTCCGGACTGTGAAAGAGGGAAACAAACGGGGCCTATATATAATGTACATCTTTACCGTGAGTATGACTCCCACTAATGCCAAATGTTAAAGCATTCAGCCACTGGGTTCAATTTTTGCTTCATAACAGAGCTATTAATTATTATTAGTAGCCCTCTTCTCCCGCTATTTTTAGGTTTTTATTTTTTATTTTTTAATTTTATTTTTAACTATACTACACACTATTATTCCTCTCGTCTTCATTATTGGCTTGTTATTGATGAAACTTTAGATTTGATTTTTGATCGAGATCTAACGCTGTTAAATGTGCTTTTATATGCTAGTTGATTACCTCATAGCCAAAATATTTATTTTGTAATGTAAATATGGAGATTAAGGTACCATAGTTTATCAGTTGCGATGATGAATGGATCGTGAAGGTGATTAGTAATGCTTGTTTGGTACTGATTGTGTTGATTTTTAATTTGTTTTATTTTTAATTTTTGGTGTTGCAATAATGCCTCTCTGAGTAGAGGTTTTGTCACGACCCAAACCCGCCTTTATGGGTTTAGCATTGTAACCGGCTAGTAATCCGTGATTACCAAAAGCTTGCTTAACAGTAATAACAATAGTACAGCATAAGGGGCTGGTGGAAGCCAAACAGTAAATAAAAGATGTCCAATGAGCTGTGAAAATTTGAATGGAAAAAGACTTTTATGAACAAAGCCACATCCATAACCAAAACATATATACATATCAAATACACATAACATCCAGGTTAGGGACTTAATCCCTTCACCATAACTGTATAGTTGAGTCTTAAACATTCGTTACAAAATAGAGACAGAATGGTGACTCTGGAACACCCCAAAATAGCCTTGGCTTGAACAGACTTAGAGCCTCAAAGTGAGGCACAATGGTTGGCTTGACAAAACGAGAGCTTAACTTGACGCTCCTAGCTTCGGTCCGGTGCCTGTCCACCTACATACGTATATAAACAGTGAGCTAAAGCCCAGTGAATAACAAATGCGTAAAGGGGTTGAGAATGAATGTTCTTTCAGTAATTAAAATAGTCATTTGCATCAGTAGATCAGTTATTCAATCAGTGGCTCATATTTCATGCCATATCAGTCAATCAGAAATCACAACAATTATATATGGTACATCCAATAGCAAAACAGTACAGTAGGTCTTAATAGATCGAGTAGTCAGTTGATGGCCATCAAACAGTAAACAGTAGTGGTTCCAAACATTGGAACCGACAGAGATCTCTGTAACAGTAGTAGTAATAGTAACAGTACAGTAGCAGTAAATTGCTATGGATGCTACAAGTATAGTTCGTAAAATAGGACAAATATTTATTCAGTAAACAATGTTATTTCAGAAAGCAGTACAGTCAATCGTTCAGAAAATAATTAGAATTGAACATATCTTTACAACATCGTTACTCACAGATTACTGGGCTATTGGCAGGCTAATCAGCGTCCTCGAGTGCCAACCCTACACAGTTGCAGAACGAACACACACTAAGTTACGCACTTGGGATTAATAACTTAGCCCCTATATGGCTTGGTGTGGTCCTATAACTTTATCCTTATAAGATGCCTTAAACATGGCCTATGAATGCTTAGGATGGAATGAGGATGCAAAAATGTACTTTAAAACACTTTTTAAAATTTGCTGAAAACAAGGGTCTCGCTTGAGCGTGGCTTTCCCCGATCAAGCGGACATGCAGACAAAGAGGCTCTGCTCGAGCGTGACTTCTCTCGCTCGAGCGGACTGCAAACTCATGAAAAAGCACTGGTTGCACGTTTTTCACGCTCGATGGACGCTTGACCCATGATCGAGCGTGAGACTCAGACCCTCGCTCGAGCGCAGATTACCTCGCTTGAGCAGACTGCAAATCACATGAACTTCTGGGCATATGCATTTCACGCTCAAGTGTGACTATCGACGCTCGAGCGGAAGTGCATGCACTCAGAGTGTACGCTGGAGCGTAAAATCCTCCGCTCAAGCGTGGATCAAAAATCTAGAATTTCCAGATTGATCCTCAAACACAAAACTCAACCTCAAAAGCTTCAAATTCAATTTTTCTGGGCTAATTTTCTAGAAAACACTTAGAAACCCATAATATAACATGTTTCAAGGATCATTTTATAAAATCAAGCCCAAAGGTGTGACAATAGAACACAATTTTGAATGAAACTTTATGAACATAGCAAGAACACAACATGCATGAGTTCCTAAGAACTCCAATGCTCCAAAACATAACCAAATGCAAGATTGAACTAAAAAACATGGTGAATTTCTAGAATATGACCAAAATAAGAACATGCATGTAGAAATTCTTATGGAAATGACTTCAAAACTCAATGATATGGACATGCACACATGGCTCCTTAATACAACATTTTAAACTAATTCTAGACTCTAATCACTAATTCTTCCAAGAACCATGCATGTAACAACTTAAATTCATAATTAAAAGAATGAATTTCCTACCTTAAGT